CTTTCAAAGACCTCTGGTCACACATTGAAAGCTCTGTCAGGGTTTTCGATAGAACCGTAAAGTCTTCCCCTCCTCTTTCCTCCCTTCCCGTTATACCAATAACACCCCTAGAACAACCGAAAATCGAGTCTGTGTAGGATCACAGCAGTGACTCTTAACTAGTCTTACCGTATGCTTCGATTTCACGAAACTAAATGTGAATATATATATATATATATATATATGTATACGTTCTGTAAACTTTAAGTCATATGAAATCTTGCATTCGGATTTAAGTGCAAAAATTAGACATTTTAAATAAATTTATGGCCAGTTGTTTGGCGTGCAATAATTGTAATACAGTTGTACAGCTATTGAAAATAAGAATGTGATATAATCAAGAAACGCGCGGTAGTGTCTCGCGTAAAGTATACGTGTTCACGATACAAATAACGACATCGACAGACAACAGTGTGAGTCATCTAAATTATACATAAATTTGTGATAATATGGATACTTGATAATATGGCTATGAATCCAAATAATGGCCTGTACTATTGTCCGACAAATATACCATCACATCAGACGTATTTTCATCAAGTACCAACGCAAGAGAGCAGACTTGAAGGACACGTATCATCACCCATCAGTTTATTAAGGGATACACTAGTACATGGCAAAAAAACAGTGACACAAAATTATGCATATTCATACACAAACGTAAATGGTATGACTTCGTCATACCAAATCACGCCAAACAGTCAAATGATTTCACATAATTCATATCAAACCTCTTCTGTAGAATATCCATCACCATCTGAAATATCGGTGATGGAATGCGAGGAATTTTTTAACAACTTACAATTAGAAGGGCAAGGTCAACAACAAAAATACAATAAATATGTCCAAAATTATCAAGAACACAATTATGTGCAATCACATAATTATAATTGTACTCCTGGACCATCCACTATTTCAACGCAATGTGAACAAGAATTGCAAATCGACAGCTATAACAGAAATAATAATAATAATAATATAAGACAAAGAAACAGGAATATTAGAATGTCCAGGTATAACAGACAAAGAGAGCCTTATTCTAACAACGTTGCCAATTATCCATGGATGTTTAAAAGGACAAATGGTTAGTTATTTACTGTGATATATATTATAGATATTACAACATTTATATCATATATGTATATGAACAATAGTAATCAGAGAACTGTTCAAATTCGAATGACCTCTATTTACATTTTTATCTTTTCTAAAGAGTCATGAATATTTTACAAACATAGTTTTTCCTTATTTACTACATTTTTAACAAATAATTAAATCTCACTCGCAACTTTTGAAATATCCAATCAACTTTACTTAAAATTAATAAAATCGGGGCATATATAGGATGATCGGGGTCAAAGCAGTAAGGATTGTCGATTACAAGTCGATTACTTTTATACAGAGCTACATATCAGTCCAATAAATAATTAAAAATATATATTTAAAAAAAAAATTAGTTATAGTTAAATAAATGAAATCCATAAATATCTCCCCATTAATTTTTAACTATATACTAAATTTATCCTTAATATATATCATTTATTAATACTTTTGAAAATTATTGATTGCAGCCCAAGAAAATGGGACTGAACAGAAGCGCACGAGGCAAACCTATACGCGCACTCAAATCTTGGAACTGGAGGCAGAGTTTCATTTAAATAAATATCTTGCAAAAAAACAACGTATAAAGTTAGCTGAAAATATTTCTTTGACTGAGCGTCAAGTTAAAATTTGGTTTCAAAATCGACGAATGAAAGAAAAAAAATCACCGAATACATCCATAAACATAGTCGAAGCAACACCATCGAAATCAATAGTATCAGAATCCAATACACAGACGATAATTCACGAAACTCAAGTATTAAATCCAGCGCAACAAACACAATTACAACCTCCACAACAATTTTACGAAGAACATCGAAATTATTTTCCTAATCAAAATATGTTAACAACTCATTATTTAAGTAATGCGCATTATTGAAATAATTTTGAAAGTAATAACTAATAATAATCGCGAACATGGTATGGTAAAGCACTTTGTGCAGTGATTCTGTGAATACTTTCAATTATTTTTAAATAATAGGAAAATATTAATTACTCTGCGTAGAAAAATTTAGTAGAATTAATTAAATTAATTTAAAAAATTAATAAAATTGGACAATAAATAGAAATGACCAAAAATTAATAAATTCTTACTAATTTATATGTTTATTCTTCAATAGTAATTTTCATTTTGGTATTGAAACATTAATAATGAAACTTTTGTCATAAACAAATATAGATACAAATATTCTTGAATGACGTAATTATTTTGCATTAAATTACAATAAACTTTGATATCAAAGTTCGTTGCAATTATTTGCATGTATACTGCATTTACTGTACGTATATACTTCAAGAAGTATTTGTGATGAAAATCAATATAATAGTTTTGTAGATATACTTAGACCTACATTGGCGTTTTAAAATTAATCGAGATAGTTTTAAGAAACGAACTTATGCCAAACTGAGGACAAAGTTGGTCCTTCACGCTGGTTCGTAAAGAGAGAATGCCGCCACGGTCGAGATCGGGGCAGCTGACCTTGCAACCACTATGATTTATGGCCGAGCTAAACAACGAGCATCCTATAGCTCAGGTACACGAAAGCTCGGCCCTTCACATCGCATTTTCTCCTGAGTATTCTTTTCCTAACTTTGCATTTTGTCAGTAGATTTTGCTCATGAGTATTGCATACGTCATCCAAAAATATTTTGACGTTCAGAACAAAATTCATATACAATTTGATTAATGATAGTATCCGCATTTAGATCGCTGCTAACCAGAATATCGATTACATTTTCCAAACGTTTTTTTTTTTTATTTGTCGATTACTATAATAAATTTTATATAAGAATACATATAAATTAAAAAATAAATTTATAATAATTAATTATAATCCATTTGTAACATCTTATGTTAAATGAAATCTTTCTTCGTGTATATGATTGTGTATATTTCAATAATAAGCGAAAACCAAGAAATGTTTAACGCAATAAGCAGAGAAAGCCATATTTATTGATAAATATTGTAAAATTTACACGAAAATATTATTAGGCACCATATTTGCTTTAACCGAATATGGCCTTGATCTTTACTTATTGTGTTGCATATATTTCTATCATGTTCAATATAATCATATAATTTCAATCACAATGACATAGTATATGGATTTTATCTAAAATGTGATTAATATGACATTTTATATATACGTAACTGTATATATGTATGTATACTACATATATATATGTATACTATTTTTGTAAATATTTTAAGCATTATACAATAATGTTTAAAGTATCCTTTTATATACAGGGTATTCAGCGTAACGATCCGCACGATTTTTCAGACACTTCCGACAGTTAAAAGAAAGATTGAAGGGTGAGTTATCATCTGTTTTATATAGGCTACATCATGCGATAAAAAAATTAAAAATTATTTTTTTTTCATAAGAAAATTAAAGTCATCTTAAATTTTTTAAATATCATATAATTTGTTTTCATAATATTGTAGAAGTCTTCAAGATGAATTCAAATCACTGTCGAAATGTTACTTTTATTGACGTTTTATTGATTTTATTGCATATTTTATTAAATAAGTACATGTCTATGTATGTATGTATATATGTATGTTCTGTGTTCTAGTCAAAGGTTGTAAGTACTGCTGTTACAAATAATGTTACATATTTGATATTAAGTATCAATAAAACGTCAATAAAAATGACATTTTGATAATGATTTGAATTTATCTTGAAGACCCTTACAATATTATGGAAAAAATATTGTATGGTACTATTTAAAAAATTCAAGATGACTGATTTTTTATAAAAAAATTTTTTTATTAATTCTTTTATCACATGTGTAGCCTGTATAAAACAGATGAATATTCATCTTTTTAACTTTTTTTTTTTAACTGTCGGAAGTATCTGATAAATCGTGCGAACCGTTACGCTGAATACCTTCTGTGTGTGTGTGTGTGTGTGTGTAGTAATACTTTAATCATTATTGTATAATACTTAAAATATTTATAAAAATATGTATTATATATATATATATATATACATATATATGCATATAAAATACTTCAAACATAATAGATACAAAATTGACATTCTTTATCCAATAATATCACTTTACGTAAAAAAGAGAAAAGAAAATTTAAAATTGAAAAATTGCATTTGTGTAAACACACACATAAATATATTTTATTAGCATTTATGCATACATGCATATTATAAGCAATGTTAACATAATAGATATTCGGTAAGCTTAAAACGTTAGAATTTAGGGGATGACTAGATAGAGTGGGGAGGAGATAGGTATGTGTGCAGCTGCGCTGTTCACATGAAACAAGATGGTTGAAAGCATAAGCGTGCGTGAACGAGTGTGCTCCTTTTACTCTTATTTTTTAATGTTTTAAGTGTTTTTTCGTGCAAGAATTTTTTCTCTTCAATTTCAACGTACAGTGTTTTCGGAAAATGGATGCAAGCATTGCAAGTAAACAATATTGACGATAAATTTCCATCAGTTTTATTGGTTACAAGTTGATAGCGTGTAATAAATTTTATTTATTTTGGTCTAATTATGAAAAAAAGTTTTTTTAATGAGACTTTCGTATCCGTGTTACGTCACAAAAATATTAATAAATTAATTGGATACAATTATCTTCAAAAATGCAAAAAGTTTTCAAATTTTATTGATTCATTGTGTAACTATTGTAAATCATTTAAAATAGATAAATAATATTGCGAAAACTTAAAACAAAATTGTGATTGTAATTAAAATTGTAACCATAGCTTACATTTTATATCATAGCTTATATTTTCCGAATTAAGTAGGTATTTATACTATTTTGAATAATTGTAAATTGAATTTTAATTAACAAAAAAAAGTAACTATTTATTTATATATTTAAATGAAATTAGAATGGTATAGAATTTTTATACTCTCTTTAATATTCTTTTAAGTTGTAAGTTATACTAAATAAATAAATTTTTTAATCTTGTGAATATAGAACATAAATTATAGTCACATAAAATTGTTCAGAATATACAATTAAATTTATAACAAAGCGTTTAGAACTTTCAAAGAAATATAATAAATGTGTTGTATTGTAGCTTAATTTATATGGATATACCTATTATAAATATTTTTCACTTTTTCTATTTTGTTTCATAATTTAAAGATGTGTATAAAAAGAGCTAACATAATTAATTTTATATTTACAATATATTTTAATTTATATTGATGTATTTGTATAATATTAAATGTGTTGTTATAAATTTAATTTAATATTCTTAGATAATAATTTTATGTAATTATAATTTACGTTTCGTATCTATACTAGGTTAAAATAAATTAATATATTTATTATTGTATATTTTTATAACATAATACAAATACAAAAGTCACAAAGAATTTTTCTACTGTTGGATTATAATTCTTACTGGGTTAAAAAGTTTAATATATTAAACGTATTTTATAACAGCTTAAAAGAATGCTCTCTCTCTAAAGAAAGTTTATTAACATTCAGATATTGTTTAGAATATAAAAATATATAATTATTTTCCTTTATTTAAAGTTCAATTTATAATTATTTAAAGAAGTTCATATTATAATTGTGATTGATACAATATTATATCGATGCTCATAAATAATGTATCTTTTTAATTCATTTGTTCCGTAAAATTACATACAGTTGTATATATTGTACCTGCAGTGTTTATTAATAATATTGTAATTAATAAGTATGTACTTTTATTACATAATATATTATTAAGACAAAATAAAAAATGTATATTATTTATTGATTAAAGAGTATGCATATTTTGTAAAACTAAAAAATGTGTAAAGATTGTATTTTTTAAATAATAATTAAGTATAAGAGAAAAATTATGATAATTTTTTGTTAATATTTAGAATAAGAATTTCTGTTAACATATGCAATCTCTGTTAGCATATACAGCTGTTTATATTTATTTTTTATAACAAATGATAAATATGTGTACATATAAAAAAATCAATAAATATTTATATGTGCACACAAGTTATTTTTTCATTTTTAAGTTATGTTTTCTTAAAAATTTAAATATTTTTTTAGAGACTGCATTAGAGTGCATTTTCAGGCAAACAAAATCTATAAAAGAGGAGATAGGTTGTTCGCGAAATGGTCGAAGATTTAGGCGAAAACGGAAAAAGAGGGGGAAGAGGATGGAAACAGGGGGCTGAGAAAGGTTTGTATGGCAATGTGTAGGTAAACCTACATTGCAGAACGCACCCCCAGGAGGGACGGCAGCAACGAGAGTGAACCCTGAGTTTGCAGGGGTTGGACAGAGAGAACGAGGGTCGATATTGTGCTTGACAGATAGTTTCCCATAGCTCCAACAATCCATCATGGCCGGCACGCGGATACGTATTGGTTTTTGTGCAACGCGTCTTAGCTGTGAACCTCGAATTGAATATATTTTTTTCTCTGCCAATCCTCTTGCGTAAAATTTGTTTTTGCGCATTATACGGAATTTTGACATAAAATGAACATATACATATAAAATTAAATTTTATTATAAATTTACACGTACACACACACATATATATATATATATATATATATATGATTGGTTTATACATTTAGATCCAGTGAGAAACTAAGAGTAAGATCAATCGTATTAAAGAATTTTACAACAGTTGCAAAGCTGCTTTTTCTGCTGAACGCAACCCATTATACATTATCTTCGTACAGGTATAAGTATATTTTGTTTTAAAATATACTTATATCTCTATACACATATATTTGTTTCGTGAATATCGTGAGTTTCTTCTCATCTCATCTCATATGAAGATTAAAGATATATAATTTATACTTCTATATATTAGAAAGCTACAACGAATTATGAATTCATAGCGTGTATTGACTGAAAACTACTTGTAAACCGGTTACGATACTTT